AGAAAGAGCAGTGATGTCATTAACCCTTTCCTTAGTCATCTCATTTGTTGCCTCGCATTCAAATTTTATTGCACTCCTATGTTATGAATTTATGCCAATAAGTTTGGTATCAAACTGTAGATTATAATTCAAATTTTAGTTTTATATATTACTTCATTTCTTAATTTAAAAGTAAATATTAAAAATACACATAAAAATTGATTTTTTTGTGTCACGTGGTATGTTGAATGCAGCACAGGTTCAAATTAGAGGTCTGTGATGTCAAAATACAAAATCTATAGTTTCTTACGAATTAGGAACTCAAATTACCGATATTGAGAAGCTAGAATATAAAATAAGAACCTCCTATCTTTTCTACTTGCTGAGATATCACTCTTTTACTGAATCAAACATGGTGGCCTACTAACCTCTTTCCATTTTGGGAAATGCTCCCTTATATACTCTTACTTCTGTCTATGACATGTGAAAGCTCAGAATGTTGCCCTAGTGACTTACTCAGCCATTTTAAAGTATTACAACATCATCTCATTCTTTTGACATAAAACTTCAAAGTGGTAAGTTGAGTCTTTATTGAGCTTGAAATTTTTTTAGACCCAAATACAGCTTAGTTACTAAGCTTGATAAACTATGGTGGAATTCTATGGTACCACTATAGTAATTTATGATTTTTGGTTATTTCAAATGTATATATAAAACCTAAAAATTAATTTTGTTTCACATCTTCCACGTGCAAAATTTTATAAGGGTTATCAGCCTACGAGAAGCAACAAACGAGTACAAAGGCCATAATTAGACGAGATAATTGTTTGATTTACTTCTTTATTTACTGTTCCATATTTTAAGAAAAATAAGTTTAAGAACTTATTTGTAAATAGTAATAACGTATAATAATTGAAATGTGACTGTACTTTACAAAATACTAGTCCACTAAAACACAGCCAAGACAGGTCAGGTTGTAAAAACTAAAGGTCAGTTTTATGTTATTGGATATGGTAACATGAATGCATGGCTGAAAGGTCAATATAATAAAAATAATAAATATATATAAGTTGTATTTATTCTAAAACAAAAAATGTATAATTGATATTTATTTCCTAATTTTTTATGGTGGTTACGTTATCCGTCAAATCAACTAAACCCGTACAGAGACTTGTTAGTGAAAATAACAGATAAAATATAAAGATTTTGCATATGAAATTTGAATATCTTCTGATTCATAAAAGTATTTTTAATCTTAAAATGAAAATTACTTTGCATGATGGATAGGCATGTTGTGAAATGGAAAAAAAACATTGCTTAACAAACCTCAAGACTTGATAAAAAAAAATCTGATATTTTACATATGAAAGCCTTGTAATGTTTACTGATAATCTGCCAAATTTCGTGAACATACACATACTATTTTAAAAGTTATAGCATGAAAACTATAACAAGCAAAAAATGGTTATGACATTGATCCCAGAGATCATGGGAAAAATTGCTGGCTATCAATGTTATTTTTGTTTCCCCATTTTTATTATCATTCACAATTTCTTTTTCCAATGCCAAACTTTGGGAAAATCCCCATTAGAACTTTGCACAGCACTCTGGAGTATCCTTAGTTTATAATATATATATATATATATGTTTGCAGTCTGATGTACAAGTGATTACCATTTCAAGCTTCAAGTTCAACATCAAAAACCAAGATGAAATGTACAAGATCAAGTCTTTTTAATTTTAGATTTTGTAAAAAATCAAGAGGTAAGCATGTTTTTGCTCTAATAAACAAGTATCATGTTCATCTGTTATATAAAAACAAACATTCTTAGCATAAGTCAAAGCATTTTATGAAGCCAAGAGATCTCCTGCATTCAGTAAAGTAGTACTATTATTAATATTAGCAATAGTACTAGTAATAATAATAATAATATACTGAGTATTTGCACTCTGGAAAACCATTTTATATACAAGGTGTAGTTGAGCTAAATACAAATTCACTGGTAACTGAACAAACAATTTCTAAAGTTGTTACTGATGTACATCATACTCCTAGCAATAGTAGTGAAGTATTACATCAAGTAGTTAGAGAATGAAACAAGCACAGTTTTTATTTATTTATTTAGTGCTATTTTTCTCTCTCAAGTTCATTTCACAATTTATTGTAAATGGCTAATTAAAGATGGCTACTTCTTCCTGTGGCATGTCCTGCCTATGAGTGACCAAGTAGGCACTTTTCTGGATTATTAATGACATAAATGAAGAAGTTACTGAAAGTAATGAGTATTTAACTGTATTAAATAAACCTTTGTAGTGAACTAACATTAGTGATAAGCACATTATAATGAGGAACAAAACTTATTATAAAACATTTAATAGACTGCAATAAAAAAACCCTTTTAATACAAAACTACTAACAAAGACAAGTGATTTATACTAACAATCTAAACTAATGAAAAATATTTTATCTAGACTATTAGAAACGCACCTGATAATGATTAATACTTTAACATACTAACAAACATCGTAGCTGATCTATGTACTAAACACACACTTATAAAACTAAATAATCATAATATAGTAATAAATAATATATAATTCAACAAACTTACTGTAATTGACTCTACATTAAAACTCACACTTATAAAAACTAATGTGACGACTGCTGTTGTATTTCAATCTTTTCAACAGTCATGTCTGGATTCATTGATGTGGCTTCCTGGATAGCCTCAGCCAGGGCACGATCATGGTCAATGGGATCACCATCACTGTGTATTGTAATTTTTTGTTCCACTCGTGTCTCAACAGCACCATTGTGTTCCATTTTGTACTAGAACAAAAAAGGGCTTAAATGAAGGAAAAAAACATCTATCCACATAGAATAAGATAGTTATAAAACATTTATTTATAATTTAAAGATGTTAAATACAACATTTGACAACAAAATTATAAATTTCACTAACTGATTGGAAAACATATTTGGATAAAATATATATATACACATAGAATGTTTAATGGTTATATTAAAACTATTTTGAATATGCAAACCAATAAGTAACATTCCAACCACAGCCAAAATAAAGCCACAGAGGAATGGTATGTATCAAAACTACATACTAACAATGTTTGGAATTTTATAGGCAGTGTGATGCCACCGAAAACTGATAATTTTTGGGATTTGTATGTAACAGCCCTTTTCAATGCAAAATATTCCTATAGTTTGATCATAAGGATGTGTTCAGATTGAAGATTTAGAACTTTTACTTGTAGTTTTGGGAAGTAAAGGAATATCGATCAAAAGGGGGCACCAGGATGATCCAGAAAAATACTTCCAAGTCATAACCCAGCTATGGTAAGAAAACTGCAGCATCTTGTAACAGGTGAGAATACATGAACACAAAAGTTAGTGGCAGAAGCTGTCACATGTGCCCCAAACAACAATACGTAACATAAACAAGAAGGATATTCATGTGGAAACAGGACCAAGATAAATCTTACAGTCATAGCCCCTATTCAACCACCACATACCTTACACAGCTGGATAATTAAATGGATATTCATGATATTCCATTCAATGACATACCAGTCAAGTCAGCGAATGTAGATCCAATGGATTTCTAAGTGATCTAACTGATCAAGTGGGTGATTGATATATGGTAGTAATAATAATAATAAAAATTCAAAAAGAAATACTTATCAAACTTTAGTTCTGCAATTGAAATGGTTTATGTTGTGATATGTCACTATATTTTTATGTTGTACCTTGATTCAAGATTATTTTATTACAAACAATAAATACGCTGAAACAACTTATCAGTGAACAGCCTTTTCTCTTTACCATTGTTCAGTTCTGAACCTTGGCGAGCTCTGAAGTGTGCAAAATATACACATAAATGTATGGACATAATATTTTACAACCAAAGAATTAGCATGTTTTATTAAATTATTTACAGAATAGACCTACACTGTTTCAATATCTATATAAATTAACATTTTTAGTTATACAAACACACTTCAACCTATTGTGTAAATACAATCTCTCATTGTTTAGATTACTAACATTTTGCTTCTTTGGAGTAGTATGTATATAATTTGAATGATTCTTATATCATCATGTGTTGTAAGTCTTCATCAACAGGTACTTGGTTTATTATCAATACTATATGTTGTGATGATACTTATGAATTTAAAATCCATCATCTAAACTCATAATTCCAGCAGATTTGAACAAGTCACTGCAATGTCTACCCTATCTTCCACATGTGTTCAAACTAGTACACACACCAAATTTCTTGAATGCAGTCATCTGAATACTGAAAGTAGCTTCTGAAACACCAAATATACATATATATGTGTATATATCTATAGAGCAAGTAAGCAACATTTCAATTTAGAATAAGTTATGTATATGCTTGCAAGAGCTAGTTTGTTGTTTAGTGCTAGAGAATGACAGTTACACTGTTTGTTCCATAACTCAATTACATCTAGTACTATTTCAAAAGTTCCACCGTGTTCCTTGGTTTTTGATAGCTTAGAGGAAATGAAACTTTTAGCAAATCTTAAAGTTAAATTTAGGAAGTTAAAAAAAATATGAGTAAATATATATATATATATATAT